CCAATAAGATGGCATTTAAAATAACAGTAGCCATTAGAATTAAGTGTGTTACTATCAATAAACAAAAATGCTGGCAGCAATGACTAGCACATAGTAAATGCTCAACAAACATTAGCTTGTATACCACAAATAGTTTGTTGGGAACCTCTTTGAAGCAGGCATAGTCTTAACCCTCATAGTACCCAGCAAATTCAAATGAAATTCAAAGCAGTTGATGATCTTGTAGCAGATGAGCAAGAATTTGAAAAGAAAGCAAATTATATCTCTTCTCCAACTACAAGATAACAGCTTAAAATAGTTCCAGATAATCCCATTTTTGTCACTAAGATTGAACAATTGGATGTAATCGTTTTTAATTTCTGCAGTTGTAATATTTTTGTAAAAATAAGTTTGGCCGCTGGAGGGCTCTCACAACCTCTTATTGACGCTATTGCATAAAAAGAGACTTCAATACAAATAACTAACATAGAATGAACAATACAAAGTGCTAATAACACAACTGATGCCTCCATTCTCAAGAGCAATTAGGCAAGGTACAGCAAAGAGATTTAAAATATATATAATCTTGGGCCTCCCTGGTGGCGCAAAGGGTTAAGCACTGCACTATAAAGCAATTTGCAGCCTCCGCAGCACTAGTTCCATCCCCAGCCCCGCAGGGAGCAACCCACATGGTGTAGCAAACCTCTTCTGACTCGCCCGCTGCTCCCTCAGCAGTGTACTTCAGTCAATCTGCCTATTCTGTTCTCCACTCTGTCTCTGGTGAATCCTCTCACCCCACGCATCTCTGGCCTGTGCCCAGCTCTTGTATGCATAAATAAATAATTTTTTTAAAAAAATAAAAAAATATTTATAAAATCTGAATCCAGTTTCTAAAAGTTCATGAAAGTTTCAATTTACATTTATTCAATTAAGAATAAGCAAGGGGTTAAGATGTAACCTATGAAGCTATCTTGCTGCCATTGCAGCAAGAGCTCGATCCCCAGCCAGGGAGCTACCCACATGGCACAGCAGACCTCTCCTGACTCGCCCGCTGCTCCTCTCAGCAGTATGTTTCAGTCAATCTGCTTGTTCTGTTCCCCACTCACTCTGGTGAATACTCTCACCCCCATACCTCTGCCCTGTACCCCAGTTCTGGTATGCATAAATAAATAAATCTTTAAAAAAGAATATATGATATGCTATAAAATATGAATTTCAAAATATAGGGCCTCCCTGGTGGCGCAGCGGTTGAGCGCTGGGTTACGAAGCTGCCCGCAGCCTCTGCAGCGCTGGTTCCATCCCCAGCTGCTCCCCGGCCACTGGAGGAGGGTCCCACATGGCGCGCAGACCTCTCCTGCCGCCCGCTGCTCCCCTCAGCAGTGTACTTCGGTCCTTCTGCCTGCTCTGCTCCCCGCTCTGGCTGGTGAATTCTCTCACCCTCCCGCGCTGTACCCAGTGCTTGTATAAACAAAACAAACAAACAAATAAAATAAATAAATAAATAAATAAAACATGCTTCTATTAAAATAATAATAATAACAAAATATAAATTGCTAAATTTCATTTCCAAATACATGTACAGTGGGAGATTGGCTTTTTAAAATATATATATTTGGATTTAAAGTTTTTTCCTCTTGTGTTCTTTATGCATTTTCCACAGTGAACATGACTTGATTTCACAGTGAGAAAAAAAAATTTTCTTAATTTAAACTATGAGAGTTTTAAAAACACAGTATTATTTTTTTTAAGATTTATTTATTTATGCATACAAGAACTGGGCTACAGGCCAGAGGTATGGGGGGTGACTGGATTCACCAGAGACAGAGCGGGGAACAGAACAGGCAGATTGACTGAAATACACTGCTGAGGGGAGCAGCGGGCGAGACGGGAGAGGTCTGCTGCACTATGTGGGTAGCTCCCTGGCTGGGGATCGAACTCATGCTGCAGTGGCTGTGATAGCTTCATTGGTTATGTCTTAACCCCTTGTGTTACCAGGGAAACCATAAAAACACAATATTATAAGGGTCTATAAGTAGTACTTATGTCCCTCGGCACTATGTAACTGTGCTGATGATTATGTACTTCATTGGCAGTCCTCTTCACCTTCAGCACATAGCTTAAACCCTCTGAAATACAAGATCATACATCCTCTCAGCAACCCCCTCCTGCCATTTCCCCAAGCAACACCCACACCCGTCATAATGTACTCCTAGGCAGTTCAGTTCCTCCTGGGGGAAGTTTCTCATCCCCTGTGTTTTACACCTGCTCTTCATCCTGCAGGAAATGACCTTTACCACCCAGCCACTTCCAGCCAAGCTAAATTAATTAGCCTAAGGCTCCGCTATGATGGGACTTTCCTTCTCTCCCTATGGAGTTCTGAAGGGTTCACATAGTACCTTGCATATGCTTTTATAAAAGCATAAATTACTCCTAATATACTGTTGAGTTCCAAATTGTTTTCTAGTAAGCACAATATTGCCATCGTTACTAATCTGCCTGGAATGCTTCCTAGCAGTCACAGTACATCCCTTGTCCAAATTCACATCTCTAAGTTCCCTTTTTTGTCTTTTTTTTAATTAATTTTTTTAAGATTTATTTATTTATTTATTTATTCATTTATTTATTTATTTATTTATTTATTTATTTATACATGCACTGGGCACAGTCAGAAGCGCGGGAGGGTGAGAGAATTCACCAGAGCCAGAGCGGGGAGCAGAGCAGGCAGAAGGACTGAAGTACACTGCTGAGGGGAACAGCGGGAGGCAGGAGAGGTCTGCGCGCCATATGGGACCCTCCTCCGGTGGCCGGGGAGCAGTTGGGGATCGAGCTGGTGCTGCAGAGGCTGCAGGCAGCTTCACAACCCAGCGCTCAACCACTGTGCCATCGGGAGGTCCTTTATTAATTTTTTTTTACATCATTTGTAAGGGCAGGAATGGACACAGTGCAGGTTTTCTAGGATCCCATGCAGACCGGGTAAAGGAGGAGTCAGAGTCCTCAGTGGCTTTTTGCAGGTCTTTTATTGGGATTTACCAGGCACATGGTAGACAGGGGAGCTGGGGGGCCGGGAGTCTGGCAGGCCTCCCAGCCCCCAGCAAGTCTTCACTCTTTCTGGGCTCTTCGGTCTTCTCTCTGCTTCACTCTGCTCTTCTCATGGCTCTGCTTCTCTCTCGGCTTCTGCTGCTGCTTTCTCGGCTTCTCTTTCGGCTTCTGCTGGCGTCCTCGTGATGCTGCCCTTCAAAGCCCAGTCTTAGCCCAGGTGAATCCCATCTACCTATGCCCACACCCTACTCCAGGTGCCCGCCATCAGGCATGCATTCAGGACCGCAAGGATCCTTCATCTATCCTGATGGCGGGAGGGCAGAAAAGCCTGATACATTTTCCTTACCCTACATCATTGTTCATTTTTAAACAATATTCACTTCCCCCCACCCCCTGAGGTGTAGTCCTCATAGTTTCCTTCACCAATGCACCTGTGCACCATCACCTCAGTCCCCTGTGCTCCTCCCTCCCTCCCTCTCATCCCTCTCCCTCCTCCTCCCTGCAGTATGTCTCTGGTTTATAATTGTCCATTTTTGCTTTGTTGTGTTTTGTACTGTTATTATTCTTTTACACTGATGTCTAAGTTCTGCACCACTCTCATTTGGAATGGGAACACTTCTCACTCTCCAGGTTTTGCTGGGTATAGGCCTCATGCTTTCCTAGCCTCTCCAAAGAAATTAGTCACCCTGCTTTGAAATGACCTGTTGAGGGGCCTCCCTGGTGGTGCAAGGGGATAAGACACAACCTATGAAGCTGTCCGCAGCCTCTGCAGCACTAGTTCGATCTCCAGCCAAAGAGCTACCCACAGGGCACAGCAGACCTCTCCTGACTCGCCCACTGCTCCCCTCAGCAGTGTATTTCAGTCGATCTGCCTGTTTTGCTCCCCACTCCATCTCTGGTGAATCCTCTCATCACCCACGCCTCTGGCCTATACTCCAGCTCTTGTATGCATAAATAAATAAATTTAAAAAAGGAGAAATGACCTAATGACCTGTTGAGGTGTCTGGAAGTTCCCCAAAGTGCTTTCTTTATTTCAGTAAGCCCAGTATCTAGCAGAGTATATTTGGCCAGGGAAGATGGTAATCACTGTCATCTAAGCAAAAGTCCATCCCTCAGATTTCAGGTTCTAGCTTTAATGTACAAAACCTTGCGGTCCTGGGACTCTCTGGTTGGTGCAGGGTTTAGTCTCAGCTCTATCAAGCTATTGCCAGCCACTGCAGCATGAGTTTGATCCCTAGCAGGAGAGCAATGATGCAGCAGACCTCCTGTCTTGCCTGCTGCTCCCCTCAGCAGTGTATTTCAGTAGAACTGCCCGTTCCGCTCCCCACTGTGTCTCTGGTGAACCCTCTCAACCCCTACACCTCTGCATCTCATCCAGTTCTTGTATGTATAAATAAATCTTAAAAAGAAAAACAAAACCCTAATGGTCTCAACCAAGTTTATTTTGAGGGAAAATTCTGGTCTAACATGACTCCTAGTCACCCCCCTTCCACAGCCCCTCCTTGCTTGTGCTCTCCTACATTGCTCCAGGGTGACTGTGTATGAACAACAGCACATAACAGAAGTGGCAATCTATTACTTGCAAGAAACGTTATGAAAAGACTGGCTAAATAGGAGAGAGAGCAGTAAGCAAAATAACTAGGAAACCCCAGCTCATTCCCCACAGAAATATTTTAAAAAACTCAAATTGTTGGAACCAGCTTCACCAGTGCTCTGGAAAACAGTCATATGTTGATAGGAAACAAGCCGCACCCAATCAAGAAAAGGCTATGTTCAAGATAGGAAAGTTGGGAGGCATTTTTTTTTCCACCTTTGTTCCTCTCCTTCTCAGTTCCCTCCTGAACAAGAGGGAACAGAGCAGCCCTTATTCAAAAATCATTAGGTACATCTGTTCTGACTTGCCTGAGGGATGCCTGAACTACTGACATGATTCACTTTCAATTCGCCTCGCTTGGAACTTGGGTGGCAAAAGCGATGGGCACTGCAGGTAAAGCATGCCAGGTTGACTATGCCCGACCCAAGAGACTACGAGTAGAAACAATCAATAGACTAAGTATTGGAGAAGTGAGGGTGAGTCTCATTAATTGGAAAATGAGAATACATAAGCAGCCGGTTTGCAGGGGAATTTAGAAAGTTCCACATGCCTAGGCAAGATGCAGAAAAGACCTGAGGTCATATGCTTTCACTTTCGTCTAATTCCTAGTATCAGAGCAAGCCTAATAGGCGTTGAAGGAGTGTCAACAAGTTGCAGCCATTGGGAGTAGCATTTTTTTTGTTTTTTTTAAATTGTGTAGATGTTTGTCCTTCTATATAACTTCTGGCATTTAAAGATACCTACCAAAACATTAGCTAAACATGAGCTAAAGAACAGACACATCAATTAAGAAATGGACAAACAGAGCCTTCAACAATTAAAAGCAAAACAGTAAGCCTAGGTGGGGGGAAATCCGATTTCCAGAATTACCTCATCACAATTATAAAACACTCAGTTTTCAACCAAAGAAATCACAAGTCATGCGAAGAAAGAGGATGTGTGATGAACAAACTTTAAGGGAACAATAGGAGAAAATGTCAGTATTTAGGGACAAGAAAGTTAAACTCATGCAGGATAGTAAGATGGATTGAATCAATTTCATTGGCATTAAAAGTTTTTATTTGGAATTTAATCCACAATCTATACGTTATTTACAAAGCATGAAAATGGAAAACAGCACAAAATACAATTGAGGTATAAGCTAAGAGCACAGTATGTCATGTTTCAATAAATATAATTCAAAATTTGTAAACTAAGTGACCAGATAGATGAGTCTTGTTTTATAGTAAAACCATATAAAATATTTATTTCACGTGAGGTAGAGGACAGTTTTGTGTGTCATGTAATGCAACCAACCACAGCAATGTTAACCATAAAACTGTACATCATTGGCAACATTTTAAATTGAATTATGGTCAATGTGGTCAACTATTTGTTTCAACAGGCAGAACAGATATTTCACTTACTGTTTTCACAGATTTAGAAATTCAGAAATAATTTAAACTCAGAAATAATAGTAAGACTACCGTTAGCCTAAAATATTCAGATAAACAATTCTAACGGGATGGTTAAAAGCAAGGATATTTTTTTCCCCAAACTATAATTCCCCAGAAGGTGTCCTAGATTTAGCAATTCTTTTAATAGGACTTCTTTTACTAGAACTACTTTAAGTATGCTGTGCTTTATTTTCAAGTGAGGTATCTATATTGAAGGAAAAAAATCTTATAAATTTCTTTTACATTCAACTAACTTAATACACTATTTTGTTTTCTGGGCTGAATTTTTAAATTTCAGTTTATACATGTGATCACTAATTCAAAAACAGTAGCACTATATAAAACATTTAACTCTATTACTAAAGAAACAAGCTTCAAATTGCATTATGTAGTTCAGAAGCCATTTAAATGGAAGGTTTCTTTTTTTAAAAAAGGCTATCCTTTTAAACAAGATGCAATATAGAATATCTATACAACTTTCTTTCAATAATGGAAATGCTTAAGTATCCTATACTAGAAAAAAAATTGAGCTGTTTAAATTATTCAATCCCACAATGTATAAAACAGCAGTAATGTGTCCCTTATTGCTGACAGCTTCAATAAAAATTATTAGCAAGTAGTTCCAAGCACAGAAACAGATGTACAGTATGAGCACTTTTTATTATATTAATGTTAATGTCCTGTAGATTAAATGTATAAGAGCAAATAAAATGAGGATTCTCCCTAAGTAATCAAAACATAACTCTTTTCACTGAGAAAATTTTAGAAGTTGATCAAAAACCTTCAGAACCAGCTAATTAGAGGGAAATACCTTGAGCATGTTTCTTATTACTTGAGTGTCCTTGTCACTGTACTTTCCTTCAAATAGAAGCCAGATGTGCAATAAATTGATTGCCATCATGACTTCTAAAATATATGGATAACCTGGCAAATATCATTGTACTTGGTCTATTTTACCTACTTTACTGGTTTTTAATTCAATATATACAAATGACTTTATATCTAAACTGACAATATATTAAATATGTTATAAAATTAGTTTAAGAAGCATAAAACATCCTAATTCTCAAGGATATGGGATTTCAAGAAGAATATGCTTTACAAAACTAAAGCACAAGTCAGACTTACACTGCTGGATCAAATTCATTCAGTGTCACAAGTTGCATTTGTGAAACTGGGATGGTTTTAGAGTTTCCTCAATGACAGCAGGTTATACCTTTACTGCCCATATAAGTTTGGTACATTTTTCTCACAAAGTTTAGAGACACTATCAACACCCAAATTAAACATTACCCATTACCCTGAAAGCTAATATTCTAATCTCTTCCCTTCCTTCTAAAGACACTCTAGCACATTTGATAGGCCATTCCTTTAATACAGCTTTTTAAATATTTTTATACTTTTTCATAAAAGGAATAAAATTATCAAATCTGAAGGAAAAATCTGCTTGCCTAATGAATTGGTATGCAAAAACTAACACCAAAACAAACTTTAAGCTAGCAAACAACACACAAAATGAGCATGCAAAGAATAGAAGAATAAGTTTATATGGATATTTTAGCAGAGGTCACTTTTAAAGAATTACAAAATCTATATATTTCCAAGCTATATGATGCAGTTTAACTTAAAATTACTTTTAACTAGAATAGGTGTATTTACAAATGACTAAAAAACTATTTTCCAGGAAGCTAGACAGAAACCTATGGCACATCAATATATCTTCTGGAACATGAAGACCACACAATTTTACGTGGCAAGTTTTCATTTTGGGAAGGACTAGAAAAAATATTCCTTTACTCAATTCTAAATTAAGAGTACATGATAATTTAAAGGTACTTAAACACTGCCTAGAATTTTAAAATAACATATTTCAAAAGTAAAGCAATTTATTTTAAGCTTTGGGTTGAAACTTAAGTGAATAAGAAAGAAAAGGAAATTAAAGGGGCTTAAGTTTGTCTCCCAAAATGCTTAGTGTGACACAACTACAATACGATGGAACTATCATAAAATGTCTGTGATTTTTCCTTCTCCAGATCTAAATAAATGGTATTAGGAGAGTATGTCATTTTCACACTTGTTCCTCCTTGAGGAAATCCCAAGAATAAACAAATTAAATTTCAGGGAAAATTTTAAATAGAAAACAGACATTTAAATCATACTTTACAAAAAAAAATCCTATATTTTGGAAGTACAAAAATTGTATTAGCATATGTAAGTACCATTTTAGCAGAGTATAAAAATAAGAGGTAAAATGATGGGCTACAGATTGTTTTTGAAGTTCTACACTATTGGAGTATCTGTTGTCTATGCTGGAAAAAGTATATCATCGTAACCTTAACAAATTTTTTTCATGTCAAAAGGGTAGTATGCCGGTGTTATAACAAAGTTTGAGAGTCATGTCACACACAATGGCATGAATACCCAATCATCATGCTTATGAATCCAAAAGGATCACAAATTTATTTTAAAAATAAATTTAGTTCTCAAGTAATTTCATACAGTACCTTATGTGAGAACATGAGAAAACATAACTCACGGGATAATGATGTCAATTAATGGTAGCTTTAGAAAACTTTCTTTAAAAAATAAAATGCATTCCAAGAATTTTACCTGACACCTTATAAGCCAAGAATTAACTAAGATGAAATTTGCCATTAAAGAATGACAGAATTTTCTGTGCAAAAAAAGAAAAGTGCAGAAGACCTCGCCCCTCCCCCAAAGTATGGAATTCCTTGGTCTTCTAAAAATTATGTAAAAACCATTTAGTAGCAGATAACTAAACTTCCCCATATTAGTCTATTATATTCTATCAGTCGTCTGTAAATTCCTGATTTTGTATTAAGAAGTAATTGAAAATGGTCCCAATCGTGCAAATTTTGATAAGACTTAGCATTTAAACATACAGAAGTTCAAAATAACCTTCAAGATGTTTAATATTGTACAATTTAAAGGAAAAAAATCCATTAAGGAAAACAAATCCATTATATAAATTTCAGTAAAACCCATAACTACATATAAAAACTGTACAAGAACATTATGGATTAGATAGAAATTGGTATACATCAATGGTAATCAGTTTATCTCAAAACATTAATATTTTCACACTGCTATTAACAACATAAACAAAAGTCCAGAAATTATTACATTTCATTCCCTCCTCTGAAGTTGCATTAAAAAAAAAAAGTTCTAAATATAAGCACATTAAAACTGAAAAACAAATTCTAACTACTTCTGCATGTTAGCAGCAGTATATAATAAAGCATGTCATCTTTCCCCATTCTGCCTATGGATGTGCTATAACCTCATCACTGAAATGCCTCTTTTGACAAAATGTCTCCTAGGAAACAAAGAAGAGAATGAGTGAAAAATTCAACCTATAATCTGAACAAAATAAAAGCAAATTTTGTATATATTAGTGACTATACTATCAATTTAAAAAGAAGACTGTGCTAATGAAAAAAAAATGGAAATTTAACTCCTTGAGTGAATTTATATATTTGAAATACCTACCACTGTACCTAAAACTATTTGAAATATGAATAAAATTGACCACAAATATGAATAAAATTTCCATCACATAATGCAGCTTTTAAAAAGTATACAACTGTTGAATTTGCATTAGAAATATAGGCAGATTTTCTACTATTTGGAACCATACAGTATTGTTAACTAAGCAGGTTGGGGGGAAAATAAAAGTACAAACAAACATACATTTTCATTCATTTGGCAAATGTAAAAATTTATGTACTAATATATAATTTCTTCATTTCTTCTCTGATCTACAAGTGGGTAAAATGCCTAGTTATTTTCATGCAGATAAATTATTCAGAATTCAATTACCAAGGAAAATTTAAAAAAAAAAAAATGTTGAGAATATACATTTGAATCTCTTGAAAAGTCTTCTATTCTTTAGCAGCCTTTGAGGATTTCAAAATTTGCAGCTTTAGCTCTTTTATCATCATCTCTAACTTCTGTCTTGCCTCCCGTTCCTGTCTGAGTTCATCTTGGAGTTCTTGCCTGTCAGCCTCAGCGTGGTCCAATCTCTGTCTCAATTCAGCCAACTGTGATTTAAAATATCCCATTAGTTTTCATTTACTTTGACTTTTTCATTTAATTCTTACCTCATGGCAAAGACTTCTTTTCAAATTCCTTTTTACAAATGAACTATTTCATGCATACTATAATCTCTTGAATATCAAATGTTATTATTAACCAGACATCTGGCATAACATTGAGGGAAAAACAAATCAATAGAAATGAGCACCTGAAGAGAGCACTTTCATTAAGCCCTGTACTTTAATATACCTCGTCACAGCCTCCCCATGTTAGCTATTTGTTTATCTTTCTGAAGATGAGTGTGTCTAGTCATTTTTTGCTCCAGTGTTTCTGAACACCGTGGGCAACAGTTCATGTTTGTTAATTTGAAAGCTCACGAACTACATTAAAATAATCTAACATTAGATGTTTAGCTAGCTGCCAATTAACAATTTAGGCGAGTCAAGCACAGTTAAAAGTAAAAAGCAATCAAAGATGATATAACATAAAGGTGCATTTTTAAAAAATTTGTTTTGAAGTCTAGCTTAGTAAGTGTGACAAAAGTAATTTCTCCAATAGAGAAACAACAGCTTCAATTTCCATGTTGAATGGGCAACATTAGACAAACTGAGCAATTCTTACCTGTGCTGCATATTCAGCCTCTTTGTCTTTTTCTAAATTTGAGTCACAGGTACATTTTTGCTTCATTACCTGCTCTAACTTTTTCTCTAGGTCTTTCTGTTCAACATAAATTTCTTCCATTCTTTGAGTGTGTTCGTTCTGCAAAGATTCAAGTTCTTTCTGTAAATTCTGCTGCTCTTCAGTGAGTTCCTTCATAGCTTTTGAACTACTCAACATTTCAACTTCCTGTAAAGAATCACAAAACAATTTCTACCTTTCCCCTATTATATTAGAAATGTCAATTCAGAAAATGCTCAACCTCACTTATTAAGGAAATGCACATTAAAACCACAACGAAGTATCATCTCACACCAGTGAAATGGCCTGTATCGAAAAGACCAGAAACAGTATGTGCTAGCAAGGTGCAGGGAAAGAGGAACTCTCATTTCTTGCTGATGGAATATAAATCAGTGCAGCCTCTATGGAAAACGGTATGGAGAGTCTTTTAAACTGTTAATACAGGGGCCTCCCTGGTGGTGCACAGGTTAAAGACAGTGCTGTCAAGCTATCGCCAGCCACTGCAGCACAAGTTGAATATGGGCTGGTTGGGGAACAGCTGGCCAGGGAGTAACCCATGTGGTGCAGCAGACCTCTCCTGTCTGCCCACTGCTGCCCCTCAGCAGTGTACTTCAGTAGATTTGCCTGGCTCCCCACTCTCTCAGTGAATCCTTTTACCCACCACCCCATACCTCTGCATAAATGCATAAATACATTGTCCAAAAAAAAATTGTTAATATATAATACTTCTAGGTATTTAGCCAAATATGAAATCACTGATTCAAAAACTACGTACTCCTATGTTTATATCATATTCACAAATGCCAACACATGGAAACAATCTAAATGCCCATCAACAGATAACTGGATAAAAAGTTATGTTATATAAAATCCAATGGAATACTACTCAGCTAGTTTTAAAGATGAAATTTTGCTTTTGCAACAACATGAACAGAACCTGAAGTGGTTGTGCTAAGTGAAAAACATCAGACAGTAAAAGACAATTATTAATTCCTCATGTGGTATATAAATAAACAAAGCAAAACAGCTAGATGCTGAAAAATATGGTGGGAAGCAGAAGGAGGGGAAGGGATGTGGCAGGAAAGAGCGGGATCAACTTGATAGTGGGGATGGCAATGGAATGCTGGTGGTGGGTTTGGTGAGACATCTACATATATCAAGGTGTTGAAGCTGCTCTCACAAAATTTATGTAGTATTGTAAACTAATGGCTGCTCCCCTCAGCATTGTATTTCAGCAGACCTGCCTGTCCTTCTCCCCACTCTGTCTCTGGTGTATCCTCTCAACCCCCACACCTCTGGCCTATACCCCAATTATTGTGTGTATAAATAAATAAAATAAATCTTAAAAGAATACACAAAAGTTATCTTTTCATAATAGACTACATAATAGACTGAATAGTGGACAAAAATTTTACCATCTGAAGTTGTTGCTTCTTCTGTAAAATAGAATTCAGTTTTTCCTGTTGTTTTACATAAGTTCTCATTACTTCTTCCATGATTTTTCCCTTATCATCCTCACTGACATCTTTGACAAAAAGTGGAGATGAAGTTGCAGCATCACGGCCAATTCCCATCTTGCTTGTGTCTCTAACTAAGTTGCAAGTGAGTGATTCAGGTTTCTTTTTACCTGTGGAATTATTTGAGATCGATGGCTCTATGAGGCAAAAATGAAGTAACAAAGTATAAATATCACTTTGTTAAAAAGTCACTAGAACAAAACTATAAATTAAAACAAAGACATTTATTTACAAATGAAATAAAATATGAATAAATTTAACAAAAGGAGTACAGCACTAGTACAATGAAAACTACAAAACATCACTGAAAAAAATTAAGACAGGTAAGTGGAAAAGCATCCAATGTTTACAAATTGGAAAACTTAATATTGTTAAGATGATATTATAAACTGAATGTTAGTAAACATCCCAAATTCCTATATTGAAATCCTAACCCCCAATGTAATGGTATTAGGAGGGAGGGCTTTTGGGAGGTATTTGTCATGAGCTCCCATGATGAAATGTATGTTCTTATAAAAGAGACCCAAGAGAGCTCTCTCACCCTTTCCAGCACATGAGGACACAGTGAGAGATGGCCATCTGTGTACAGGCCCTTGCCAGAGAAAATTGCTGGCACCTTGATCTTGGATTTCCTAGTCTCCAGAACTATGAGAAATAAATGTGTATGATATAAGCCACTTAGCCTACGATATTTTTGTTAGAGCAAACCAAATAGACGAAAATAAATGGTATTAATCCCCAGATGGATCTACTTTTTTCAATGCTAACTTCGCAGCAGAAATTGATAGGTTGACTCTAAAATTCACATAGAAATGCAAGGAAGCCAAAATAGTCAAAATAATCTTTAAAAAGATTGAAGTTGGAGGATACACAAGTCCCAATTTCAAAACTTATTACAAAGCTACAGAAATCAAGACTGTGACTAAGCTCTGAATCCAGAAAAAAAAAAAAAAAAATAGTGTATGGGTAACTGGTTTTCAACAAAGCTGCCAAGACATTTCAATCAGAAGAAAATAGTCTTTTTGACAAATAGTGTGGGGACAACTGTATATACAAAGAATAAGAACTGAACCTCATTTAACTCAAAATGGATCAAAAAACAAATGTAAGAATGCAAACTCTTAAATGTAAATCTTTGTGACAGTGACTTAGGCAATGGTTTCTTAAGCATGACACCTAAAGCAAGCAAGCAAAGAAAAGTCACTAAATTGACTTTCATCAAACTTTAAGACTTTTATGCTTCAGGGGCCTTGGTGCAGGGGCTAAAGTATCAGCACTATCAAGCTATTACCAGCCATAGCAGCATGAGCTCAATCCTCAACCAAGGAGCTGACCCACATGGCACTGGCAGACTTCTCCTGTCTCGCCAGCTGCTCTACTCAGCAGTGTATTTCAGTCAATCTGCCTGTTCTGTTCCCCACTCTGTCTCTGGTGAATCCTCTCACTCCCTGCACCTCTGGCCTACACCTCAGTTCTTGTATGTATAAATAAATAAAAATAAATCTATTTTCATGCTTCAATGGGCACAAATAAGAAAATGAAAAGACAACTGACAGAATGGCAGATTGCGTATCTAGTAACAGTCTCATGTTCAGACTATGTAAAGAACTCTCTTTACTCAATAGTAAGAGACAACCCACTTTTTAAAAGGCCAAGGGTCTGAAATAAATATTTCTCCAAAGAAGATTTGCAATGTCCCATAAAAACAAGACATTCAACATCATTATTCACTGGACAACTACAAATCAAAACCCGTTAGATAACATGTCACAACCACTAAGATGGCTATCATCAAAAGACAGACGATAGCAAGTGTTGACAAAGATGTACAGAAACTTCATAAGCTAGTGATGGGAATGGAAATGTTGCAACTGCTTTTGAAAATAGCTGGCAGTCCCTCAAGATAGAAAACATAGAGTCACCATATAGGCCAGCAATTTCACACCTAAATATATTCCCAAGGGAAATACGTAAGTCCAAATTAAAAGCTATACATACGTATTCATACTACATTATTCATAATGGCCAAAAAGTAAATAATCCAAATATCCATCAACTTATGAACAAAATGTGGTATATCCAGCTATATAATAGAACATTAAGCCATAAAAAGGAAGTACCAATATATGCTACAGCATGAACTGCAAATACACTGTTAGATGAAAGAAACCAAATAATACAAAGTCACATACTATATGAATACTTTCAGATAAAATGTCCAGAACAGGCAAAACACATAAACACAGAAAATAGATTAGTGGTTGACTAGAGACTGAGGAAAGGGAGAATAGAGAGTAACTTCTAACAGAGAATAGGGTTTCTTTTGGGGGTGATGAAAATGTTCTAGAATTAAACAGTTGCAGTCATTGTACAACTTATGAATTTATTAAAAACCACTGAACTGCAGGCCTTCCCTGGTGGCCTAGGGGTTAAGTCTCAGTGCTATCAACTCTGTGGCCTGAGTTCGATCCCTGGCCAGAGAGCTAATCCACATATGGCACAGCAGACCTCTCCTATCTTGCCCGCTGCTGCCCTTAGCAGTGTATTTCAATAAATCCGCCTGTTCTGATCCCTACTCTGCCTCTGGTGAATTCTCTCACCCCCCCCGATATTTCTGGCCTACACCCCAGTTCTATAATATTAAAAAAAAAACCACTGAACTGCAAATTTTAAAAGGATAAATATTATGGCACATAAATTATATCCACAATTTTTAAGTCTCTAGGATTAATTTGGAAAATAAAATATAATAAAATAGGCATAATGGCACATTTTACTAAGAGCTTACCATATCTAAATCCAAAGAAAACTGATCTTTAAAATCTCAAAATTAAAGTACAGAAAATCTCCAAAAAGTCTAGTTATATAGAAAAAGTTAAATGACTAGAGAACTGTTTAACTGTTCTGAAGCAGCTGTCACACAGTCTAAGCTATATGCAAAGCTTTGCTGCTGTAAGGAGAGTAATATAGATAGCACTTGGGCAGACTCCTCTTGCTGGTCCACAGTATTTTAAAAGGCATGGTAACTAGGCAGCTTTTTTTTTTTAGATGTCCAGTGAGCATTATGCATTTATACCATCTGCCTCTCTTTTACCAATATGAATTTTCAGTCCTTGCTTATTTCATAACAAAGTATCCCTAATTTCTATACTTAACTACTGTCATATTTGTTAGCATTATTAAATGGTTTCTCAGTTCACAGCAGCAAATTAAGAAGAAAAATAAAGACCTACTAAAGAAATTGGAGGCAGGTACTCAAACAAAAATCTTTGCAGTGTGTAGCTATGCAGCCAATATATCAATCTTGTCAGTCTTCATGGCTATCACTATTCTAGAAAAGTGTAGCAATTGAGGTTCAAAGTAATCACTCAGTTTTGAAAGGTGGCACTTTTCTGGTAAAATTATCAATTATCTAGAAATTTCTCTTAAACAGAAAGCCTCTGAAAATACTGAAAGACTTTATTAGATATCAGATTTTAAAAAGATAATGTGTGAATACTTACCTAAGCGGCTACATAATTCTCTACTTGTTTTTAAATCCATTTTCTCTTGTTCCTCAAGAGAGACATCTGGATAAGACACCGATTTTTGATGTCTTCCACTACTGTGAGGTTTCTCTGACTGCCGTGGTACAGATCTACCTGCCTCTGTCTTTGTGACCTCTTTAGATTGGGCTGTAGCAGAAGTAAGTGACACATTCGGGGCAACCACCTTATCACACATGTATAAGTAGTAGCTATAAACAAAAAGAGGCAAAATAAGGCACATCATAAATTTAGGCAAAAAGAGAAATGTTTTTATCAAAATCGACAACATAACAATTCAGAAAATAAAAGTCAGAAAAAAATTCTTGAAAAAGTCAGTACTCTGGCAGTAAGAGCAAAAGTATAAGGGATTTTTGTTATTTTACCAAAAGTAATTTCTAGGCACTAAAAAGATCCTTAGAGAAAAAAATCACTCTCTCTCTTTCTTCAAAACCTCCCGACAATTAAAAGCATGAAAGCTGTTTATAGAACTGTTTAACAGCTCTGAGTAGATGAGGTTTATACCAGAAAGAAAATAGGCTAAATGGTGCTTTGGAGGACAGTTTCCTTGCCCATACCTCTCCAAAGACAAGGAATCCTTGCTCTTCATTATGGTGAGGTTTTTTGTCCCAGACTGCATGGCCATAGCCTGATTCACCATAGGCCCAGTGAGGAGTTCCCAGGGCCCTTCTTATAAATCGAGGAGAGAACAGACACTTTGAATGTTGCTCAGCTTTAGGGTAATCCTTGTACAAGCCCCCCCAAAGCAATCATCCTAAAATACTTGAGTACTTCCTACTCGTGATAAAAGACTAATAATAAATTGTGCAAAACTAAGATTGAAGGAATAACTACCAATTGTGCTCAAATCTCACCTAAAATTGTTCAGATTATCTAAGACTCATGGAATAAATTTGAACTATTTAAGTTCCCTATTACTAACTATATACTGCATAGTCCTTAGTTAGAAGATGAAACCATTTCACTGCTGCAACACTTCATCCATGAAAGTCTAATCTCTTTTATTTTCTTTCCATGAGATATTATTTACTAATCACATGAATTCTAAGAATGAAAACTCAGTATTTTGCTAAGAAAACTGACAGGTTTATTATTGCCCAAAGACTTACTTTAAATGCAACAGTAACAACTTTACAAATGTAAAAAGACTAAATATTCTTCATCAACATGCTAGGGAGGAATGTATAGTTATGGCATCAAATAAAAATCTAGGACCCCATATATGGTTTATAATCTAAGGTATATTTTCATTGAAAATAGGAAAACTTGATTTTCAGGGATGTGGTTACTATGAAAGTCTAAATTTCAAAAATTTTCTTTTTAAGACAGCAAAGTTGCACACCAAACTTTTGAAGAGCTGGCTTAACTCTTGAAGAAAGAAAGGAAATTAAAGGAAAACTTTGATTGTTTTAGTGTGGAGCAAAAAGGAGATGAGCTATTTCTAGAAAAATATAGAAATGCCATGAAAAGTTTTCTCAAATATTCAACACAATTTATGATTTCAGATTCTTTCTTTGATCCATTTCCGTATCAGAGTGCTTAACTACACAGTTCTACTACAATTTCCTTATAGTACTAAATAGGAACAGAAGACATATTATTCTCCATCTACTTAACTACAAATGATTTTCAGGGCCTCCCTGGTGGCGCAGCGGTTGAGCGCTGTGTTGCAAAGCTGCCTGCAGCCTCTGCAGTGCCAGTTTGATCCCCGGCTGCTCCCCAGCCACCGGAGGAGGGTCCCATATGGCACGCAGACCTCTCCTGCCACCCGCTGCTCCCCTCAGCAGTGTACTTCGGTCCTTCTGCCTGCTCTGCTCCCTGCTCTGGCTCTGGTGAATTCTCTCACCCTCCCGCACTTCTGACTGTACCCAGTGCTTGTATAAATAAATAAATAAATAAATCTTAAAAAAAAAAAAAGAAAGAATTTTGAATTTTCAAAGATAATCTATGATTAACAAGTCTAAAACTAAGTAACAGACTCCCAAGGTAAAGAAAGAATAGTGCTTGACATATAGCTGTTGAATGAATCAACAAATGAATAAGCAAATATTCAACTCACCTGGGATGTAAAAATGAATGTGTCTGAGAAATATGGTCACCTTCCTGCTTTATAACAGGATACCATGACTGTAAGTCCATTCCTGATGGTGTATCAACCTACAGAAAAATGAAGAAGGGGAAGTTTACTGAAGGAAGATATAATGGTTAATTTTATGTTTAAACCTGATAGGGCAACAAGGTGCCTCTGGAGGTCCCTGAAAATTTAAGTTACATTACTTACGTTGTAATGGGCAATCTTTCCTTAAGTAAATACCATGTCTACTCACTTAAAATTCAAAGAGACTGCTACAGGGCCTCCCTGGTGGCACAAGGGGTTAAGACACAACCTATGAAGCTATTCACAGCCACTGCAGCACAAGTTCGATCCCTGGCCAGGGAGCAACCCACACGGTGCAGCAGACCTCTCCTGTCTTGCCCGCTGCTCCACTCAGCAGTGTATTTCAATCTTCCTGTTCTGTTCCCTACTCTGTCTCTGGTAAATCTTCTCACAATACCTCAAATAGTATACAATAGTATACTTCTCAAATAGTATGCAATACCTATTTGCTATTTCTAACATGTCATTAAATACATGTAATATAATACATACTTATTAACTCTAACAAACACCTCATTCAATAGGCATCTTTATTGCCATTTCAGATTAGAAAACTGAAGTTCTGAAACTGAAAAAGAAAAAAAAACCTGGGCCTCCCTGGTGGCACAGCGGTTGAGTGCTGGGCTGCGAGGCTGCCTACAGCCTCTGCAGCGCCGGTTCGTTCCCTGGCCGCCAGCGAGGGTCCCACAAAAAAAAAAAAAAAAAAAAAAAAACCAAACCTGTGATTTCCAAATTCCCCCATAATTTGATTGTCCTTATATTTTATCTACCCTTCTACATATTTCACATTTCAAATATTCCACTGAATTTTTGGGAAAAGAGTACCTTAAGATGACAGCTTAAGAGCCTCTGATAGAGGGGGCAAAGAGCTGACAGAAGGCATGATTGAGGTAAGCAACAAGGGTGAACGGCTAAACCCAGTAAAAGAAGGTAAAATGAACTGGCCATGAGATAAAGGGAGAATGAGACAAAAAGGAGAGCTAGATATTCTTCTAAGAGGCTCTCCTCACTTCTGCAACTAGGTAAGGAGAGTGGGGAATGACCTCATCCAATAACACAAACAACACTATTTGGGAACAGCCACAAAATAAAAAGAAGTGAGGAAAATTATTTTGCCTAATGTCCCAATACCGCAATTCAAAACCAAGCAACTAAGTGAAATGGAATGAAAAGAGATCTCCCAATGCTATAAAGTTGTGATGAAAGCAAAAGATTCATAAAGTGCCAATGGTTTGATTAGGGATATCCTAATAAAAAATGGAAGCCAATGAGGGTGACGAAACTTGGGAGGTCTAACAAGTAACCCAGTGCGTCCCAACAAAACTGGTGATAATGGAAAGGAAACAGATCTTGAAGCACAGGATATACAATTTGGTCAATCACAAGATGATTTAAGGTGAATTAAAAGCCAAAAACAAAAATACAGTGACATACAGTGGAAAATCAACATTTTTGTTTAAAATTAATAGGCAAGAAAGGCCTCCCAAGTGGCGCAAGGGTTAAAATCTCAGCACTATCAAGCTATTGCCAGCCACTGGGGCATGAGTTCGATCCAGCAGCCAGGGAGCTAACCCACATGGCACAGCAGACTTCTCCTGTCTCACCTGCTGCTCCCTTCAGCAGTGTGTTTCAGTAGAGCTGCCTGTTCTTCTCCCTTGATCTGCCTGATCTGCCTGTCTCTGGTGAATCCTCTCACCCCTTCCCACACCTCTGGCCTATACCCTAGTTCTTGTATGCATAAATAAATATAAAGAAAACTTAAAAAAAAAAAAAGACTAACACTACCACAAGACTACAGAGAAGAGAATAATATTTTAAATGGATTTAAGAGTTGAGTATTCAGTGAAGCCCCCTAGACTCTACATAGAGAAGTGTTTTTAAACTGCACAATCCTTACCAAATATTCTGAAGATGTTAAGACTCTCAGATAAACTCAACTGCTTACTTATAAAAACAATCAATCAATCACTTGTTTACATAGTTTCTCAGCCTACAGTTTAGTTCAACAAGTAAATCAGAAAGGGAACTGACTGCTAGCAACAGAAATACTAAATGATAGATGCTAGATGAAGGCTTACAGCCTAAGGAGAGAAAAGAATTACAAAATGAAAACAGAAAAACTGATTCAAAATGCAAGACAATCAAGGGCTTTAGTATAAGCCAGAGCAAATAATTTAACATATCTCAATTGTCTCCTACCCTTATCACAATATAGTAATGAATGTTAAGTCGTCTTGGGTCAAGATAACATAGTTAAATTATTTTCTGTATTTACACCATATACAAATATACCACACTATATACTACTCAGGAAGACTGGAAACTATTTAAGACATTTTAGAATCCATGAGAAAGATAAGAGTCTAAAAAAACCCCAGTGCTTAAAAGTGTAGCTTCATTATCTAGAAAATTCACTTACAGAATTCCCTTTTCACCAAAACACTGTATATAATAAAAGAGGTGTTAATGAGAATGGGTAAGCTCATGCTAACAAATCAATGAAATATAAAATCTGCTGGAAATGAAAATTTCTTTTCTAAAAGTCATTTGTTAAACACATTATTCAGAAAATAAGGTACTGTGGTTTTATATCAGAAACAATTCTGGATATATTGTCCAATAAATTAAGTGATTCCACATTTTTATATTAAAATTACCAAAATCAATTTGCATATTTATGTTTTTCCTATTATGGGTATTTGGAATCTCAAACTTTCAGAATAGCAAATTCTAAACTTCTTTAGCCAAAGAAGGTTGACTTAAAATCTCAATTTTGATCATTAAGTTCATTTCAAAACTCCAGTTTGATGTGTGTAAATTTTGCTTTGCTTCATAGTCCAAACTTAAGTGTATCTTTATTTCTGTGATGTCCCGTAAACTTTAGGTAACAACTTAAACACCTGCTGGCATACTCATATTTTTAAAAATCCATCCCTCTCTAAGTTACTGTCCTTTTATTTTTATCTCCTATCTTCACACCAACCCAGTGGACAGACTATGTTTCTGAAGAACCCTTCCTTAAAGGTTACCTAGTACAAAACCCAAATCAATGCCTGGAATTTTCCCTATTCAAAATCCCTAACAAATGGCAATCCATCCTCTGCTTGAACAGCAGCTGGAAGTCCAGGGCTGTCTTACTTACATTTCTATTCAGTACCTAGTACCAGGCCTGACTGATGCTAGAATCAATATTTTGATGAATTTTAAATGCCAGCTTAACTTAGTAATTCCCAGGGTGCTTTTTCACAAGGTTACTCTGCTACCACAAAACTAACAGAATAGTCTCTTTCATAGTCGATAGCCTTATATTCTAAGATGCACCAAAGACTAGTCCCTGAGATGTATTTTTTGAGATCAGATCTACAAATAACATAAATGATGGGTAAATGCACAACACTAACTACTATAGAAAGGTGAGAGTTAATCTTACCTAATATGCTGTGGTAACATTTATAACAAATTATCTTAACTGCCTGTTAAAAACAGTTAAGAAAAGCACATATTATACAACAAAACACTCACAGGCATGCCAGATTTCTCGAGTCTGCATTTGTGTCAACATACAAATTAGGTCTTCAAAAAAAGAACAATATAATTAAATGGCACCGCAGTAATGCTACTACTCATCAGGAATAAAAATTAGATATGAAGATATGAGTACCTATTGCCTCTTATCATACCTTGTAATGTAGGAATAATTTATTCCCTTTGTATATTTAAACAAAATACAGTTACACTATTTAGCAAAGGAGAGAAATAGATCATTTAGTAGCTTAACTTAGTGCTTTAACATTTTTTAAGTACTCTGATCACCCAACTACCCCACCATTATCTACCACAAAATGAGTAGATAGGGGGCCTCCCTGGTGGTACAGGGGGCTGAGCGCAGCACTGTGAAGCTGTCTGCAGCCCCTACAGCATGAATTAGATCCCCAGCCTGGGAGCTACCCACATGGCACAGCAGACCTCTCCTGTCTCACCCGCTGCTCCCCTCAGCAGTGTACTTCGGTCTATCTGCCTGTTCTGTTCCCCGCTCTGTCTCTGGTGAATCCTCTCACCTCCCACACCTCTGGCCTGTACCCCAGTTCTTGTCATCATAAATAAATAAATCTTTTAAAAAAATGAATAGGGCCTCCCCTGGTGGCGCAGGCAGTTGAGTGCAGTGCTGTGAAGCTGTCCACAGCCTCTGCAGCACCAGTTTGATCCCTGCCAGCGGGTGAGGGTCCCACATGGCGTGGCAGACCTCTCCTGTCATGCCCGCTGCTCCCCTCAGCAGTGTATTTCATTAGTCTGCCTGTTCTGTTCCCCGCTGTCGCTAGTGAATCCTCTCACCCTCCTGCGCATCTGGCCTGTACCCTGGTTCTTGTATAAATAAATAAATCTTTTTTTTTTAAAGATTTATTTATTTACTTATACAAGCACTGGGTACAGTCAGAGCGCGGGAGGGTAAGAGAATTCACCAGAGTCAGAGCGGAGAAGAGAACAGGCAGACTGAGGAAGTACACTGCTGAGGGAAGCAGCGGGCAGCAGGACAGGTCTGCGCGCCATGTGGGATCCTTGCCCAGCAGCTGGGGATTGAACCAGCACTGCAGAGGCTGTGGGCAGCTTCGCAACCCAGTGCTCAACCGCCGTGCCACCAGGGAGGTCCTATAAATAAATAAATCTTTAAGAAACAAAAAATGAATAGATGGCACCCTCATCTGAATTACCTAAGAAAAATCTCAGATATACCTTTTCATTCCAAATTCTAAGCCATAAGACAACAAACGACACCTATGAATGCAAAATTTTGGCAATCCCAAAACATACAGCACAATTTATTTTAAATAAGTAAAAATTAGGAAATGTTTTATGAAAGTTTTTCTGTATTTCAACTTACTATGTTATATATACAACATGCTTTTATAATCAGATTTCCTAATAAAAGAAGCATTATATTTTGGTAATACAATGCTTACTAGTCTCACAGTGACAATTTAGAAGTTGATTTTATTTACAA